TACACCAGGGTAGCTATGCCACCTAGTGATATTTGTCATGTACTGTTCTCAGCCCAGAGCAGGACAAAGAAAGCACAGAGACAAAACAGACCAGCCTCAGCAAAAGCCAGTGCTCAAAAGCATTCCTTGACTTACTCCACATCCACAATTCACCAAACCAAGAGCAGCAGGATGGTAAAGTGTGTGGCAGCTCCACCCTGCCAGCCTCTGCAGTCCCAGCTTTGAGCTTTACAGAAATGGGACGGAAAGGAGGGGGACAGATGTCAAGACAGACACATAGGGCAAATTGCAATCAGACAGCCCAGAACAAGGCAGGGTCAAGCTAACGTGACAAGGGTAATAGCACTATTTCATAAGGTGGGTATTATCAGAAACTAGTTATGACTTTGGTTAATTCTCCTTTCAGTCTGCAGAGTTGGTCTTTACACAATGGTACAAGCTCCATGTGAATAAAAAAACAAACAAACAAAGCAAAATTTGAGTTGTGGGATAGAGCTCAGAAAGTACTGTCTTCATTAATTAATATCAGGATGGCCAGTAGTTCCTTTTAACATAGAAGATCCTAATGAGTTTACAAGAAAATGTAGAGTAATAGCCCTAGGAGGGATAAATACAGAGGAAAAAAAAACAAAAAAACAAAAAAAAAAAACATTAAAATACACTGGCCTTCAGATTTTAATGAGATTGTCCTTGAAAGTTTGCAACTGCAAACCGGCCCCTTTAAACACCTACATTATGCTTCACAGAAGTTGACAACATTTAGGACTACATGTCTGAATTACAGATCACTCCAGCTGTGGTGGGAGCACAGCAGATCCTCATCAGAGTACGCACCACACCATGAAAAGAGAAGCCACAGCAGTGCCCAAATGATTTCTTCATCCTTTGAGTACAAGGGAGAGTTTGTAGGGAGGGAGACTGAAGTCACAGAAGCCTGAAGAAATAAAAGGTGCTACTACAGCCAGAGCTAGCATCACTTAAAATCGATTTGAAAGAACAGTATTCCAGTGCAATCGCACCTCCCAGCCAGGTTGCCCTGTCAGCAGACCACCTTGTTTCCCAAGCAATAACTGCAGTTCGTTAGCTTACTGCTTCTCCCAAGCAGCTTCTGAGTTCCCCTACGCAAATATCAACAGATCACCTTAACGAGCAAATCTCAGGCAAAGTGACAGTACAGCCTGGGCTATGAAATCAGGATAATGTGAGAAGAAAAACAAACAAGCTGGTTAGTACACATTAGGCACTTCTTGCTTTCTAGCTGCTATGACTTGCTCTTGGTTATTACTTCTGCTCTTGGTATGTTTTGGAAAGCTCCTAGAGCTCCTGTTAGCGCAGGGCCACCAGACCTGCACCTTCTCCTCCTCAGGCCTACAGGAGCAGAGCCCTGCTTTTTGGTTAGGGGCTGTACCGAGCCATCTGCAGCTAACTTTGGAAATGACCGGCTTGGGAAGATGCTGTCAATTCTTTCAGCACAGAGGCTTTGCATGCACACTATGCTCCTGTTCGCAGAGCCATCAACTAAGGTTATATTGGTGCAATTAGTGTTAAGACGCTTAAAAAAAATCAACCATTACTACATATGCCATAACAAATAGGGCAAGTTGGACTGTTACTTTAAGAATTACAACTTGCCAGTGTTTATTAACCTTCAGCCAACCAGTAACAAGCTACCGTGATGCAAATTTTAATATGTTTTTACAAAACCTACATCCAATTATTAGAAGTGGTGAAAGAAAGATTTTTAAATGGATTCATTATCAGTTCGTGTACACAGCAACTGTTACAGTTTGAACAGTAAAATTAGCTCCGTTGTCAAATTACTTCAACTTTACTAGGTTGATTTAAAATACCACTTGAGAGCATTTCTAGTATCTCCAGGATACTTGCTGGGAAGCAGAGAACACCAGGCAGCTGAAAGGACCACCTAGTCCATGTTGCGGTGTACCAGCAGAATATAATTGACTATGAGGGGGATGGACAAAGAGAGATTCTGTAACATACTGAGTTTAGCTAAGGTAATCCCCAGATATTTTCTAAAAATGCCAAGCAGCTTGCAAAGCTAAATCCTATGTCAGGTATGCCCAAGGCACTTGGGTCCTCACATCCCCACTTCTCCAGGGATGTCTCCTGCATCGCTGCAGAAAGTGCACCCTCAGAGCCTCAGCTGCTCTGCTGCTTACAGCAGTCTTCCATACATCCTTTTCACTTCAGCTCAGTAGAAATCCAATTTTTAATTTCAGTTCTGCCTCAATTACAGCCCTTCTTGAAGTTGACCACAACTTCATAATTGCCTTTTCTGTCCTCAGCTTTCACACACCAATTAGGCTCCAAGTGCTCTCCAGCTGCACCTTGAGGTCTCTCACAATTAGGGGATGCATGGAAGAGCAGAGAGGCTTGGTGACAGAGACGTTTCCTGAGCTAAAACAGTAGGAAATGTGGCACATCCTTAAAAGCACAGCATGACACTGCATGTAATCCCAGCCTCTGCTATGCCACAGAGGTGAGGACACCGGAGTGAGTTACCTGCCTTCTCACTGCTCGCTTGGAAATAGGATTTCAGGAACAGAAAAAAGACAGAGGACGTGGAGCTCAGCAACCATTTAAAGGACAGATCTCAGTTATGCTAAGGAAAGGTCACAGTGTTTTCTAAGTGCTCTCACTGAGTCTGAAGCTGTCATTATAATATGAGAAAACAAAATACAGTTATTTAGCAATTACTACAAAAAAAAATAAAAACACAAAACAAAACAAAAAAAAACCAAACACAACCTACTTATCCCATTCTTGCAGCATTTGTCCAATCAGAAATCTTTCTGTGCCCTGTTTGTGATATGACTGATGAACAAGTATTATTCCCCAACCTGAAGCATCTTTTAGAAAAGCTTATTCTTTTTCAAAATAACATTTGAAATCCAGTACGCTTGTCCTTTCCAAAAGCGCATTTCCCCAGTCAAATCTATGGTATCCCTGAAGAAATCATCCATTTGTTTGATGCAAACATGAAGCATTTCTTCAGAACACCAGTTTTGAATGGAGGGTGGGGGAGAAACAATTACATTTCAAAATATTTTACACATGCATTTGTAATTAATCTACAGTCTTTCCAGAAAACGCTTCTAAACCTCACAAATCAGAACAGATATTCACAACTCCTCTTAGCCTTACAAAATATCCCACAAAAGAATTGTTTCTCTCTCTCAAAGTTTCTTTTCTGAGACAGAACACTGCCCAGATGGATAAAGGTAGCGTTGGTAGATGTAGTGGAATTTAAGGTATGTATAGCAATGCAAATCTTCTCCCTGTGGAGAACAGGGTGGAATATTCCTGCAGCGAGGGGTTACGCAGCCACAAGCACCGTATGCATACGGTTAGCAGCTGCAGGGGAAGCTCAGAACCAACCCCTTCTCTCAGCCTTCTAACAACATTCTAGGTGCATCCTTGAAAAGGCATTGACTTTAATGGTGTAAAATTCAACAAGACTTGAAATTAACCTTTTAGTGCATCTTTCACATTCAATGTGAAATAGCAGAGCAGGTTGTGATGTGACATTTTTGTAGGTGAAAACATCAAAGGCAGCCCTGCCGCAGACTGATCTACCTTTGAACACCCAAGGGTATCTGAGACTGCCAAGTCTCTGTAGACTAGACAGAGAGAAAGAAAAAAGGAAGGGAAAGATCTAAGATATTCCACTATTTAAGGTGAAGTCATTCTAACTAGGATTTAATTCAATCTTTTACACTTTGTTACTGCTGGTGCTTTTTTTTTTTTTTTTTTTTTAATACACAGTCAAAAGAGAAAGTCAGGATAAAAGGGAAAGAATATTATTTCTGACTGTCAGACCATAATAAGGCATAAATACATGAAAATTTAACTGGCACCACTTATTCTTTCCTTCCGCTTTAGCATTCATGCCTTAGGAATTCCTTTATATTGAAGTTATGCAATAAACAAACCAAAAAAGCAGTATCACAGCCTTTGAAAAAGCTGCACAAAGGTAAGCACCCATCTAACAACTCCAGCTTCTGTACTAATGGACGCTGCCTGTTCCTGCTCTTCTCCCCATAACAAACTGTGCTCTCGTGGTGTTCTGGGGTGGCTCTTGTTGGCAGTATTTAGTTCGTCTTGAAAGCACTCCTAACAAGACACATTCCTGTTCCTCACTCCGGGCATAACAAGAAACGCCAGCCCAATTTCTGGCTTGCAGCTCCATCCACACTAAAAGGACACCTTCTGGTACATCAAGCCAAGCCAAGCCAAGCCAGGGAGCTGTGACCAGTGAAGCCATTGAAAAAATCAAATATATTGTCATCAAAATGCTGCAGCACTGGATCCTACAAAGTTGCAAAGCACAGGGATCAATGGGAAAATGAGCGCTGCTTACTTAGGGGGTTCTCCCCACTACTGAGTTCCTTTAATAACTCCTTTTTTTTTTTTTTGTTCATCTTTAGAGAGGTCACCATTAAACTTAATACCAAAATGAAAAGCACATCAATCATATATGCCAGACATGAAATAGTTACTCCTCATTTGGCCAGTTCATTGTAGCTTGGACTTCTAGTTCTAGACTTGGTACTTCCACTGTAATCATCAGACAGTATGGTCTCACCATATTAAAAAAATGTTAAATGTTAAAAAAAACAAACCTACAACCTTCCTAGTTCTCAGATCGAAATACTTAGATATTTGTGGTCTCCTCTTTGCTTAGACTGTCCACTCAGACATAGTAAGTTTTCTCCAAATTCTGAAGGTCTCTCCAGATCTAATTCTCACTGATCTGATTTAGTCTTCAGTAGTTGATGCTTTTAGTCCCTTTTATCTCCTCCTGCTTATCAATCCTACTTCTGTGACCTTTTTTTGTTTGTTTGTTTGTTTGTTTCAATGATTTGTGGAAACAGGAAAGAGTCAAGAGGACCTTTTCAGTTGGACATCTTACTGTCAGTCCTGTTCCCCCTCCCCCAAGCATTTTATAGACTGTCTGCCTCAATCCCATGAAACCCCTCGCAAGCTTTTTTTTTCTTTTAAAGGCATGACTTCATTTACAGCAGAGTTGGCAGTTAAACAGAAGGCACTGTTCTAAATAGGCAACTCTGTGACAAACCTTTGTTGCGTAACATGCAACAGAATACCCCCATACGCCGCGATGAACCATCCTGACTTCTGCACAGGCAATTGTCCCCAGCAGAGCTCAGGCTGGAAGGACGCTCAGGAGGCCTCTCATCCGACCTCCTGCTCACAGCAGGACCAGCTGTAGGAGCAGAACCGGTTAGTTTGTGGCTTTATTCAGTCGGGTCTTGAAAACCTTCAAGGCTAGAGATCACAACCTCTCAGGACAACCAGTTCTTCCTATATTTGATTGTCCTCATAAGGATTTTCCTTTCTTATATCTAACAGGAATCGTTTCACCTTCGGTCCATAATCGCCACCCTCTCTTCCCTTGCACCACTGCCAGTAGCCCAGCTCCTTGGGAGCCTCCTCACAGGTACTGGAAGGTTCCTATTATGTCCCCTTAAACTTTCTCTTCTCTGCAATAATGCTGACTAAGATTTTGATTTATTTCCTTCTCAGGTGCTCTCAATATCTTCAAAAACTATCAGTGAATGCTGGAGGGAGGATAAAATGCTCTGTGAGACCAGCAACGCAGGCTGCTTCTCTGCAGCTGTTATGTTTAGGTGCTAGAGCGGGTGCTTGCCTCTTGCCTTTAGGGCAAGCCTTGCATGCTGCAGCTCCATCAGAGACCTGGGCAGCCAGCTTAGAGGGACTGTGAGCTGGTACTCCTCTGCTTCAGGGCTACAGGAGAGAAATCTAGGGACATCTGCATTATTTTTCACAGCAAGGAACAGCAAAGCAAATTATTATTTGAGGCAGAGGTTGAATTTGCCAACTATGGCACCCATGTGAGAAATCAGAACTCTCTTCTGCTGAACCCAAGTGCTTTATTTGAAGAAATGGGCTATGACAAGAGGGCAGACTGAGGCTGAGTAAAGAAACAATCAAAACCAGAAGAGCTTAAAGAGATTGCTTAAAGAGACGATCCAAGAAGCTCAGAACACTCACAGTAGACTGTACAAGCAGGTGGGAGAGCAGGAAATGCAAGACCCCAGCTGTAAGTTTTAAAAGGCCCCATGAAGTTTATAAAACCCTCTGACAAGCTGCCTATTCCCTAAGCAGTGGCTGCTGCTCAGTGTTCACCATTATTAGGGCAGGGAGCAGCCCTGCATTTTTCCCTGGGGCTGGGTTCACAGCATGGCACTGCGGAGGGCAGAGGTCTGCACATGGGCGCTGCCCCCACTCATCACACCTGGCTCAGGAACACGGGGGATCCAGAAGGCAGCCCCACCAACAACAGGGATTGCTTAGTGGAGAGGAATAAGACCAGGACTGAACAGATAAACGGCGTATGTGGCCATACATTAACCCAGCCTCCTAGCGGCAGGGAGATTTCTCTCTTACAAACACCAATGGCACTTCGAGTTTTTGTAAAGGTATGAAAGAACAGGCTGCAGAGTACAACTGGGAGGAGAGCAAAAGGAATGGAAGACCAAGCTTGCTGCTGCCTTGAAGTCGTGCACAACTTCCCTCACAACGAGTAATCCAGGCCCAACCATGCCCCAGCTTCCTGAATGAAAGGAGGGCTGCCAGGAGCCTCCACCAGAACAACTTCTCGCCTCCTGCCAGAGCGTGCGACATCAAGTGAACCACTTGAAAAAGGGATGAATTCTTAAACGGCTTCTTTTCTTGGATCAGCTTAAATCTGTTTGAACTTACCTCTAAAAAGATCCAGAGATCTCACATAATGAGGAAAATCATATGTATCATACAATTTCTTATGGCTCTTTCACAGTCATCAAGAGAAATAGAAGGCAACAGACAACTGGGAAGCGAGCTGGAGATGAAGCCTTAGAATAAGTTGCTAATTCTCGCCCAGCTTCCTCCCACGTATTGTGGTATCTTGACCTCGATTTTAACTTTATCAGTGGTAAGTACAGCAAAGATGTTTCTGATGAACATTTTACTCAGTTTGTGGTGCCACAGTAAGTGTGGGGTGTGTCACATCCATTAAAAATCTGAACTGTTAAGTTTAAGATCAAAACTGTCAGTTTTGATCCTCCTTTAACATAGAACTCTGATATTTCTGAAAAACTTTTTAAGTTTTCATTGATGCACCTGTCATGCTCTCAGAATCATCTGTCTTAATAGCATGTGCTAGGTATTGACTGAGTGCTTCAACAAGCACGATCAGCCAACTCCCAGCAGACTGGTTATTTCACCATACCTACTGAATCACACACTGAAATACCAGCCAAGGTTCCTGGGTTCTACTATAACTCTTTCTCTTTTTATTGCACAACAACTGGAACTGCAGCTTACTCTATCTGCTTCTCAGAACTGCTTTTCCCACTTTGCTCTTTGCAGGAATAATTACTACCAGGAAAGAAAACAAACAAACACCACTCAAAACATACCAGGCAACTGAATATAGAGGTTTATGACTCAAGTTTTATTTCCAATGACTCAAAAACTTAGTAGCATAGCACACCACACTACCAACAACTTACCAGTGTGCAATGATATGATCAAGGATGGAAATTTTCTTAATGTTATCTCCTCTTATCACTCTTTTGGGGACGGATGGTAAGTTACATATAACCGCATTATTCAATTGCGAGAGAAAGGAAAATATGAAGCCTGTTGATGCAGCCCAGACCTGAGCTTAGCTGCAGGCCCAGAGCAGGAGTAGGAGGTGGGGGAGTGGAGGGTAGAGGCCCCAGCTGAGGATGGCCAGGGCAATTAGAGGCTGTTAGCGTATGCAGGGCTCTGACAGGGTTTAATAAGCATTGACATCTAAATGGCTGGAGAAAAAAGAAACACCTGAGCTTCCTCTGAATACAGAGCAATGGTTAAATAGAAATTTCTGCAACATGACATCGGACGTATGCAAGTTGCAACTATTTTTTTTCCAGAAAGCAGAAGAAGACTGAAAGGAGGCTTCTGAAAATGTAAAGCAGCTCCCCTTATATACAAGGTCCCTTTCCTGCTTCTTTTGAAATACATGTTACACGGGTACTAGAAATAGTTAATACATAAGGATTCTGTTAGTGTGTTGCTCCTACAGCTTCTGCTTTGGCTTAAAAAAAGGAAGAAATAGAAATAAGGACTTCTCCTTTGACGATGGGTACGTGGCATGTGAGCAGGTGATTAGACAATATATCAGACACTCCTGAGAGTCTGATGTCTGCAGATAAGTGACTGGATGTTAACAAAATATATTATTGGTGCCTTCTGCCCCTGTTACTTCTGTTATTAAGTGACAGTACCCGGGGGCCCCTGCTCAGAGCCAGACTGGCATCCCACTGAGAACACACGTATCACAAACCACAGGCCAGTCAGAAACATTTACACGCTAGGACTAGATCCCTGTCAATACCAATTGTGGGCATTATCACTGGAGGCTGCTGTTCTCACCATCCAAACTGTACCTCTGCCAGCAACCTCACAGCAGAGACAGGCAGCAAGCGAGGTCGGTCTCCCTACCTAAAGGGTACAGGTTTCTTGGGTACATGAGGCTCTAAAGCCTCTTAACTCTCTTTGAGGTGACTGGTATTGGGATTACCAAAGTCTAACTTGCAAATGGACCTATTATTACAAACTGTTTTCTCAGAAACCTTTCCTGTTCTCAGAAGTTATATTATTAGAGGAGCTTCTTGAGGGAACCTGAGCTTTGACATCCAGGAAAGTTACTGGGAACACACAAAGTAATTAGAATTAATTGTTCCACAATAAAGGCATTTATTCCAGATAAGAGCACAGTAACTTAAGGTACGAGGTTTAGTCACCTCACACTAGTCCAGGTTTCCTCTAGTTTTGCAACAGCAGCCTCCTGGCCAACCAGAGCCCCTGTATACCTATCCTCAGCAGCTCCTCTGGCAATCACCAGGTCTCCAAAAGCCTGCTGGGCTGGTGGAAAACCTGTCAGCTGGCAGCCCTTCGTGTGAGGAGAGAAAGCCTCACAGCAGTTCTTCTGGAGCAGCCAGCAGGTGGCAACTTGCTACCCCACGTTATTCTTTCCTGTGAAAATGCCTCCACAAAGGGCACACCGCAGCCAAGGACCTCCTCTGGCACAGGGAAGCCTCTGAGCAGCCTTGCTGACCAGGAAAGCTCAGGACCCACCAGGGTGCACGGGCTGCTCCTCCCCTTCTCCTGAGGCAGCCGGCAGGTTACGAGCAAGAAGCACGGCCCAAGGCTGACCCCAGGGCTGTGTGTGACATGGCAACAGCTCCGTCCAGTTGGGAGCGGAACGACCTGCCGAGATCTAGCACAGCCTCAGTGCTTCAGTACCCGGGCACTGCGGGCCCACAGCAACACAGATTTACAGGAGATACTAACAAGTGCTTTGAGTTCAAACAGAGGAGTTCAGCACACTGCTCAATCCAACTTCCCTCGTCAGACCACTTGCTAGCTCAGAAGGCAAAGGCAATGCACAAGTGATCGCACTGGCAAAAACATGCTAGATAATGCATGCCTGCCCTGCGCTACGAAGAGCACAGGATTGTCTGTAAGCTCGTGCAAGTGCTCTCTAAACAGGTCCTACCAACAGAACTTCTTTTTCCACTGCAGGCTGGAGACTGCAACGTGAAACAATCCATGGCTCCTTCAGCCCGCTGTTACCTGACAGCCAGTGGCAGTCACCCGACAGAGCACAACACCTTGAGCCGTGTTACAGGAACCATGCACCAGAGAAGGACTTCGGACACGGTACTGACTGCATACCTTCCCTCTGACTTTCCAAGATCCTAGTCCTTTTGGTGGGTCAATATAAAAGACAACTAAGGATATAAAGAAAGATTTTCCAAAGATTGTACAGGAAACCTCTATGGGTGTTGAAGAACTCGCGAGGAAGAAGCATACCTGACTGCTTGAATCATTTAATCCATTTCTAGTTTAAAGAAACATTGTGATTTTGTTTCTGAGCTAATTTAAGTGTTATCCTTCACTTCTCTCCTCAATTCTGTGCTGCCATTGCCAAACTGACATCTAGTTACGGGCTGGTACAGATGAGAAAAACAAAATCCCAAATTATCTGAAGTATCATTTGGATTAAATGGGAGATCCAATTTACCACTAAGATTTACCTGAAGTCATACACACAAGTAGCAAGTACAACTATTTTAAATGGTTGTTCAGGTCCAACAGCTGTCTACCCTCAGCACTGAGAAAATATGGTCTCCATTAATAAAATGGAAAAAAAGAGCTCTAGTCCCTTTGATAGAGCCTAGCACATCCCACAGTTCCTGCATTTTACAGAAGGAATAACCCCAACAGTTCACAGGCAAACACTTCAACACTGGTTAGGATGCTAGTAAAAATCCAAAATCTCTGGGGCAAAAAGAAGAGACGGAAAAAACTCAGAAAGCAGAAATTTTTATCCCACTCAATGAATGAGGCCTCTGAGGCAAGGAGTGAAGTGGCTGCTTTCCGGTCACATGGGAAAAGTGTATGGGGAGCCAGGTACTGAACTGATGCCTCCACCATGTATTCCTGAAAAACTAGTCTTTGCTGCCAGCATACTGTTTGTAAGGTGAGATATTATGGAAGAACCCTGTCATTTGAAAACGAACAAACAAACAAACAACACTGGAATTAATAACACAAAGACTTTCTGAAAATTACAGTGCACAAACATACAAATTCCTCAGTCAGCAACACAATACTAAGAGATACTCACAGATTGTCATTTTCCCATTATGTTTTAAACATATATACATGTATATAATTTTCTAAATAAGCCATACATAGTCGTCAAAGAAATTTATCTGTAGGTAAAGCGTTAACAATTACGTATGGAAACTAGTTAACCAGCCACTCCATTACATGCTACTCTAAAATAACAGGCATGACTTAAAATGATTGAAGATCCATGGGTGCTTTCTGCCATTTCAAAAATTCAGTAGAGCTAATTGGTGCCTGGAGACAGTACGTTTCGGAATTTAAGTGCCAATGCTAAATTGGAACAGCCTGCCATTGCAGGAGCCGCACAAACAAAAAAGTCAGCACACATTCTTCAAGATTCCTCTGACTTCATAATGGGAAAATAATACTGAACTTAGAAAATCACTGCCACTGTAGTTACTAATAAAAAAGCTAGCCAAGAGCATATTACAAGAGGTATAGTGACCCAAAGGCTCTCCCCTAACACAGCCAGAGCATCTCTTCAGAGCCTTTGGCCTTTTTGTTGAAATGCTAGATTTGTGAACTGTGTGCGTTTGTGTACCCAGACGTTTTCATGGCCCAGCCAATTGTTCCACGCTGTACTCCTTGCTGCAAAGCAGCAGCTTAGGTAGCACCTCAGAAATGCAATGGAAAAGAGCTGTGCATAGTATTGCACTGTATCTACTTTATTCCTTTCTGCTACAAATCAGGAGCAGCATTGAAATTGTAAATATATACTCCAGATGCAGGTTGCATGGCATATCTATCTGTGCTCATCATGCTATGGGGCAAAAAAGGAGAAAAATGAAAATAAAACTAACTTGTAATAATAATCTGAGAAGAATAAATGACATAGGCTATTTATGAGCCACTCCATTCTTGGGCGTTGTTACTACTACTCATCAAGCTCTCGAACAACAGCACCCAAGTGCAACCAACATTACCAAAGGCAGGATACGAGGTTGGACAAAGCAACAGCAATCCTGCCTCCAACCCAGCAGGGGAAGGCGTCCTGCAGTACGTTTCTGCGCAGAGACCTTGCAGTCTGTCCCTGTCTTTTGTTACCATTACTTGTTAGCTGTTTTGAAGGTAGGTTTGCTACAACAAACGCAGAAGTATTTTCCAACTTCCCAAGCAACATCTAAATATGCTTCAAAGGAGTTAATTCCTTTAGAGCAAATTAGGCCCAAACCAATAAGAATGGGCAAAAAAAAATCCTGAAATAATCTGTTTTGAAAGCATGGTGGGAAGAGAAGCAAAACCAGAGCAGGGACAAATGGCAGAAACAGATCACAAATTTCTTTCACAACATCATAATAAGAAAGGGAGACAAGAGAGAGGGAAAAGGCTGGTGCATCCAGGGAGGGAAGAAGGGGTGAGTGGAAACAGCTGGAATTGCTCAGCTGTGTCAACATTCGGCTGTTTCACAGATTGACTAGCAAAGTGTCATCTGAAACCAATTACATTCCCAAAACCCCATGGACCCAGTTCATAACATTGATTAATCCACATTGTGAAAACGTCCCCAAGCAAAACTAGAACAGCTGTCGGCCCTTGGAGCTCAGAAATAGCATTTGACTTAAAAAAAAAAAAAAAGAGAGAGAGAGAAACCATGCAAACTCTTTAATACTATCTTTATAAACTACAGAAGATCATACATCTGTTTCTAGTGGTTAAGAGCAGAAAAAAGATCGCCACTTCTTTTACCGTTGCTCCTCCTGCATTACTGTGGTGGATGACAGAGAAGGTTGTCAACATCGGAGCTGGGCCAGCGCTAATCCCCACAAAGCACCTGCCTGAGAACTAACAAAGTAAAACTCCTCAAGTTACCTCTTCCTCTTGCACAGCCTGGGGGAACTGCCTTTTAATTTGTGCAAGATGGAAATTTCCTGTCCCCACTCTAAAGGCACCGAAATGATTATCTGCAAGCAGATTACATGTTCAGACATCACCAACTGCGCTTCGGAGCCTCCCAACCCTGCTCTCCCTGTAAGCCCATCGATACACCCACATGAGGCACAGGGCAGCTCTGACAGCATCCCCCTGCCACTCCCCTCCACAGCTCTTCGACAGCCCCAGCATGGACCAAGTGCCCAAAAAGCAAAGGGCTTTCCAGAGTAAGCCATGGCAGCACCAGCACAGCCCTCCCATCGATTGCTACTGAATCCCATGGGAAAAGCTTCGGGTTTTTACAAGGTGACTTTGGGGCTGCTCACCTCTGACCGCAGGGGGCAGATAATGTAGATCCTCCCAGTACTGACAGGACATCTCACCGCAGACATCTTCACGGTCCCACGGACCTGAGCACGCAAGGTGCTGGGCAGCACAGCCGCGTCCCTTTCCCAGCCATGTTCTGTCCGTCCGCGCAGCACCAGAGCCCACGCGCTCCTGCTCAGAGCACCTCACCGGTCATGGAGACTTATTTTAGCTGTCACATTTCACAAGAGGATCAAACAGATTCTGACAAACTATAAAATATTTCCAAGCTCACCAACATCACTGCAAGAATATCACAACAAATAGCAATGGAAGTGTGCAAAAATGAAGAGAAATCAAAAGAAAGTAAGGCATGGGAAGACTTCAGTCTTCGCAACTGTCAATTTACCACAAGACTGCAGAAAAACAAACAAACAAAATTTTGCTTGCAAATTAATCAAATCACTTCAATAAAGAGGGTATTTTTATATGAATCTCAGTGTATTTTTTTCAGACATATATTTATTTTATCAATTATTCTAAAATAAAGTTTAAAGGCAGAGGCTCCACCAGCTCCTTTCAGAGATGAAAAGCCCTTAACACTTCAACCTGCAATATTATTCCCGCAATTCTATCAGAAAAGATTGCTGTCACCATGTAACATCAAGAGAAATTTTGTGCTGTATTTACATTTCTCTTTCCCAGCTTCAGAGCAGGAAATAGTCAGCCTGACAACACGGGTACCACAGCATCAGTCCGCAGATACAGAGGCGCACAAATCATATTGTTACCGTGTGATTCCAACCAAGATAGTGCTGAAGTGACAACTCCTTTCCCAACGAACACTTAGCATTCTTGGTATAACTCACTTCCTACAATCTTATCAAGGAGTTCATGGACTCAAACACTGATTAATTTATCTTTCAGATTAACCTTTCTGTCACTCACCTTTCATGCTTTAATTTCTAGGAACATATCACAGATGAAAAACTTTATTTAAGCTTCAGTATTTTGCAATCAAGTATATAAGATAAACAAAATGCAATGCACAGGATCAACTATACCTCTTAGCTAACTCTGGAAAGAAGTTCTGCTATAGGCATTCTACATTTGAGGACAACAGCATACTGTTGAAAGAATTTATATTCCTAGAGATAAAGACTTTTTCAAATTCAAGAATGATTTTTTTTTCCAATTCATTACAAAATACTTTAGCAACAGTTAGTTATTTATTGCCAGTGGCACAGCACAAAAGCTATTATCATCCTTTGGTACAGGTTTCCAAGCCCCAACCAGGATCAGCATCCAGTAACTCTGGTGCTATATAGAGTAACATCTCATCTTTAGGCCCCCTGTTTTGCTGGGTACCGGGAGTGCATCTGCCCAAGGGAGCATTATTCAGGCCTATAAAATCACATCACATTTGTGTGTGTGCTTGCTGAGTGTATGCCAGTGTAAGCTGTACCGATATAGAAATCACAAAAGCAAAATACTACTTCACACCTACACAGTCTTGTGAAAGACTTTCACAAACTGTTCTCATTTCCCATAAATGTTGGAAATAAAAAACAGTCTCAGGATCTAATATTTCATATTCTGCAATAGGAAAGAAACATAGCAGCATTAAGTACAAATCAGAAGATTGTGACAACACAGCAAGCCCCAGATCAGATGGATGGTCCATATGTAGCAGAGCCTGGCTTTACACATCGACCGACAAACAAACTTTAAAGAACAACAGAGGAATTCAACAGCTACCAGGCAGTATATTCTGTCCTGTCAAACGTGCAAGTGCTAACTTATATCTTCTGACCTCCGTAACTTACAATCCTCTCATAAAGTAAGTTGAATGATTCATAATATTTGTCTTTAAACATGTGGAGTTAAAAGTTGCAATCACTTCCACCTTATTAAAATCCAACATGAGAAAGTGAAATAATTTCCCAAGTAACTCTTACAATAACAATGGCTGGATTCACACAAGTAACTAATAGTAGCTAACAAACTGAGAGAATAATATACAAGGTATTCTTATGATTATAATGACAAAAAATAGTACAAAGGCTTGTAGAATTAGGGCAAAGTACAAAGAGGTACTCAAGCTGTATCAGACATCCATAAATTCACAGAATTTAAGTCAAAAAGACCAGTGGGATGACCTATTCTTGCACATTGTGAAACGTGCTTATCATAGGTTGGTGCATTTCACATCATTAACCCCTGCACTAAGCCCCATAAAAAGTATTTGATCAAAACGTTTCTTAAAGAAAGGCATCCGAGCTCATTCTGAAGACTTCAAGAAATGGTGCATCAGCTGTTCCTCCTAGTAATTCCTTCCAATGTTTAACCACATTCGGTGCTGAGCATTTTTGCCTACTCTCCAGTTTGAATTCATCTGCTCCAGCATTCAGCTGCTGGTTCCCATTTTGCCTCTCCACCAGGTTAAATATAGTCCCTTTAGTATCTAGGCTTTTCTCTTTCTGAGGATTCTTAAACAGTTACCCTACAGACTGTTAGTTTTCTCACTGGTAAATGCAAGAAAGAATGCTCCAACTGCTCGAAGACCATTTTCTCCTACCCCAAATATTTCCAGGTGACTCCCTGAACCTTACCCAATACTTCAATGTCCCTCCTAATACATGATCCTAGAATGTAAGGAATTATTAAAATACCAGTCTTGCCAACATACAGAAGCATATAAGGAGGTAAAGCCTCGCCTCTCTCCTCCTATCTCATTCCCATTGACACAAACTGGTATTGCATCACTTTTTCCTCCACCAGAAGCCTGTGGTCAGCTGTTACCTGAGAAGAGCATCTCTGCTTTGCATGATACAGTCTTCTCCCACTCAAACATTTTTTATTTTTTTTTAAGGGAGTTGATTTACATAAGTCTCTCGCTTAAAGAGGCAAAACAACTCAGAGCTCTCTGTGTGAAGTGTCATTACTACCTCATCTACCTTGCTTTCAGTTGCTTTTCTGTGCAAATAAAGTGTCGGTGATTCAGATCAATATTTCTGTTGATTATTTGGAAAAAAATCAAAGTGTTAAAACTAGTCCTGATCCTTCTGGTATCCTTGCACCAGCTTGCACCGATTCTCCATGACTGTGTCTGAGATACGGCAGTTAGCCAGAGCCACATTTAGTGCACAGATTGCTGCAACTAAAGCAGAGCTCACAGGAAGAAGCAAGAAGGAACTTCAAATAAATCCTGGTGAACAAAGTGCATTCGATCCCCCACACTGTGACAGTACGAAGAACTGTTACAGATAGGAACTGCAGATGAGTTTCAAGTCCTAAAGTTCCCAAAGCCAAGAATCGCATTTGTAATATAAAGGTGAGACCCACTGCCGTGAACCAGTGATTGAGACAATCAGGAATTCCTAGCACCATC